GACACCAATCAATCATCTAACTACACACAGACCAATATTGTCCCCTAGCAAGGCATCATGGCCACCCGATAGATTCAAATTCAGCAAAATAGCTACCTATCAACGATATGGTTACCATGCAATCAAATCCTTTCATCATCTGTTATCTCATCGAGACTGAGGTACAGAAATAGTGTCAACCTCAGTTATTCTCGATATGTTTGTATTCAATTACTGGACCAATGACCAGAACAATAAATTGGATTGGGCAACAACTCAATCCCACTTTGGCCACAACTTTAGTGTCATTGCCATTTACTGAATTGCGTAGTGAGTTAACTTTTCCCGTACCTAGGAGTAATGAATCCTCTGTCGATCCACCATAGTCTTGATACACTCATCGATGCAGCCAATCACTACCGTATTGATAGCTCTAAATAGAACTACGTTAGGCTAGTGTCAAACTACACAAATTGATGCACAAGGCGCTCCGGTGATCTCAAGTCTAAGGATCACATGCACCACCATTCGTTAGATGATTTGTTCCATAGATGCTAGGGCTATCATCTATATGGAATCCTTTGGTGGGATAATCTAGTGAACTTGCCTATAGCAAGCACTCATGTGTTGCACTAGCTTGTTGACAAATAACCTTGACAATTGAGATCAATCACAGTCTTTCTACAAGATCGTTCAACACTATGATAGCCTTACTATACTTCTGTGTCCTTGGTCAGAATAATACTAGGGCTATGAACATTTCTAGAATGGCCACCATATGTGATCGTAATATTCTCACTATCAAGATTTGAAACACTTGATACCCTTGTCATGATTCTACCATCCTAAAGACATATATAAGATATACAATTATGATTTACATGATATAGCAGAAAATGTCTTTGGTTGATTAATAAATATTATTACAAAGAGTCAATTCTACAATAATTGATTGGCTCTAGGGCACCTATTCTAACAATGGTCAACTTATCACCCACTTCATCAATCTGAACATTCTTTGACATCCCAGCCTCGGTCGAGGTCTGTCTAGCTGGTAGAGTCGACTCTGTTCGCTCCACTAGAACCTTCTTCTTTGGCGTCGACTCTCTTTTCTTCTTGGCTCGGCATTGTGTGGCTGCTTCACTCTCACTCAGTATGTCCACGTTAATGTTTTTCATCAGCCTCTCTGTAAGGTCAAACTTTTCAAGTGTTAGAGGGTGAAGAAACGAATGCCAGTAGAGGATGTGATTCCAGTAGCGAATCAACAATACGTTTCAAACTCGCTTCAGCAAAGGGAAAAGGGTACCTCTCCTGACAGTTGCGACTCGTCTTAAAGGTGACTCGCCCTTAGGTTCGCTTCCTGCAGCACCATTCTCCAATCTCGCTATTCTTTCGGTATGGCAAGAACCTTCCTTGTGACCTCCACTAACCTGTCACCACTCTGCCCGACTCGGTTGAATGCGAGATCAGCAAAAGATATAAATTAAGACTTAGTTATCAAAATACAAAGACAAGTAACAAGTAACTCACCTGTGGCTCTCCAAGTGGGTGGGATGTGGTTCTATCCTCTCTTGCCAAATATCCTCTCTCCCTTTAAGAAAAAAAAGTTTCCCTTCCAATTCTTGTCACCTGACCTGAGGCACGTCACTAGGTGGTCATGCTTCAGGGTGATGGCATACCTCCCTTGGTCCTTGTCGTGCTCCTTCGATTAATAGGAGTAAAGGAGCTCGTGCAACCCAAACCTTACTCGGTTCATTGTACAAAAGAGCTCCAACACCATCAATAACCTCCACCCATTATACATAAGTTGAGTCAATGCGATTATAAAGTGACTCAACACCTCCTAAACCAATCGGGGATTTGATAGCCTGAACCCGTCATAGAAGTAGATATCATACATATCGATCTATCCTAGCACGTCCCAGTCAACCCTCTCATTATCCCTCGGAATCCTGATCTCCACCGAGTTAGGAATGTAGTACATGGTCTTTATCCTCCACTCATCATGTTTCTTGAGTTCTGGAGGGTAATCCGCAAGTAGAATACCACCATCTAGTCTTCTCAACTTGTCCCCGAAACTCCCACTCGTTGAGGGCTCATCATCAGAACTATCACTTGGCTCCTCATTAATCTCTTCCCCACTCTCCCCTTGCCCGGTGGAGTCATCGCCACTAACTCAACAAGAGACGGCTTGGCCACAAATACCAACACACCTTCAACCCCCGCAGGGAGCTCTCCCTCTCTTGGCATCCACACCATAGTGAGGGCAGACTCATACTCGTCACCGCTATCCATCACAGCTCGATTTAGCTCGCCCTATATAGTGATTGACTTGACTAATTAGCCCGCTTTGTGAGGTGATCCTTCTTCATGAGGTGATCCTTCTTCACTCGGCTCAGTTTAACTAACCGAGTGATGTCAAACTCACACTTGAAATCTGCTGACTATTCCTCACCCCAAAATCAAACTACACTCGACTTGGTCAAGCACACTAAGACATGCTGAATGGAGACCCTAGGTAACTTAGCCTTTTCTTCTTTCCTCCAAAATCCAAAAAACCCAAAACCACTGTTCTCACTAAAATCTTCTACTTTTTCCCCAAAACATCAGTTTTGCCATGAAAATGCCCAAAGACTACTAATACTCCCACACAACCCACTCCAGTGTCAGGTTAGAGTGAATTTTCAAAGAAAAACCGAAGAAACCAAGTAGAAAACTACAAAACTTCAGCCTTTACAAAACCTCTATAAAAACTAGCCTAAATTCACCCAAATTGCCTCAAAAACACAAAGAACATGAAAACAAAGAGTAGGAAAGTCAGAGTTTGCAAAGAAGTGAAATTTTACCGTGAACAAAGGCAAGAATTGTTGAAGTGGCTCCATTGTAACAAAGAAAAGCTCAAGCGAAAAAGAAACGTAGATCGATAGTAATGAAGATGTACAGTCGCCCAAAGGTTTTCTACTCATCCAGCTTGTTAGAGGTCACACGAGGCATCAGTCGATTGGTCGTGACTGTTCAAATTCCCGCTCAAAAGGAAGATGAAATCTTAGCCTTACACGTGTCATGTGATAGGCTCACCTCAGGAGTTGCAATCCTCCATTTCCCACTCAAAGTCTGCAAAGACCCTACATTACACGCATCGCATTCTCTTGGCACCACCGACTCTAACTTATATAAAAATTGACTTGCCTAGTCGAGCCGACTTAAGGACTAGTTCTTTAAATGTTGAAACTCTCCACTCAAAGTTCACACAAGCAGTTTACGCTTGCACTCGACTTAATTAGCCGACTGGAAACATCTACAAAGGATGCACCTCACATCCTCTTACTTGGCTCAATCAACCAATTGAGTACACCTGCAAAGGATGTACCTCGCATCCTCCCACTCAACTCAGTTAGCCGAGTGGGGACATCTACAAAGGATACACCTTGCATCTTTCCGTTTAGCTTAGCTAACCGAGTGGGGACATCTACAATAGATGCACCTTGCATCATTCCTCAACATTGAACACCTTCACTTAATCGAGGGTACTCTCACTCAGTTCGGGACATTGTCATCCGGCCTGATTAATCTCCATTCGAGTCGAATACTCTCCAAGCTAAGTACTTCTTAACTTAGAGAGTGGGAGGCTAACTGTATAGGCCAAAAATCGTCTTGGGCCTTATGAGGCCTAAGCATGAAAACATCTACTACATGGCCCAAGGCCATGGCCTAATTATGGTTGGGTCTACGTCAAGGTTTATGTCATGGGCCAAACCCATGACACGAAACTAGCTTGTCCAGTTTGGATCATCCAGATTGGACCTCGTCATTAGCCCACCCAAGGGCCAGGCCCTTTGGTCCATGATATCCTCTAAGGGTTCATAATCCCACTAAACCCTAATACACCTACTTCCTATTTGGGCTTTATCCTAATTCACTCAAGATCTTGTATCTTATGTGAATTAGGACTCTCAATCCTACAAAGGCAAATAAATCAGGTTCTTTCCTATTTACTAGAACTCTGACATTATAGAACTCAAAGTCCTACTAGGATTCGAAGATCCTATGGCCACTATACAAAGAGAGGTCCTACATCTAGGATCCATTATTCAATAACACCTACTTGCAATTAAAGTTCTTGCTCTTGAGAACTAGCACTTTTGTCGTAGCTATATTCTCTTATTAGACTTTGGTAAACCCTTCCTTCCCCTAGCCCTCACTAAATAACCTCATTCAAGCTTACTGATTTGAGCGTCGGAGTGCCTACGGCAGACACCACACTAGTGTTTTACGTAAGCTTCATACTTATTTTCTTTGTGTGCAGGTTCAACGGATTGTCAGTGTCCTCAACCTCACAAGATCAAACCTCATTTCATAACTGTAGATTTTAGCGTGTATATTAACGAGGGCTTAATTTCCAATCACTAAATGAATTTGTGCATGGCTTGTGGTTGTTGTGAACCTTTTTCCCAAATTCAGATATGCAGTAGGTCTTCTTATTTTATTTATTAGTTATTGTTCCACTGTTTTGAAGTCTTTAGTCTTTGGACAAAAGATTCTTTCTTTCAAAGCCTTAATTTCCAACCGAAAATGGACAAACACGGTCAAAAATAAAAAAGTACACCTATCATATTCATCATTTTTCGTTTTGTATTTTAATTTAATTAATGGCATATTGGTTTACTCACAGCACAAACAAGCCGCGTGTGCCGTGTGCGTGGAAAACCTCGCTAATTTATGTGAGATGCGTGCTGCTTCAAAAATATTATATCCTTCCACCAACATAATTAAGCTTTTCCTGGATAACACGATGCAAGTATTGCAAATAACTGAATTTAGCTATTATAAAATTTTATTTCTTCCCTACAATATATATAATTTTAAATACATATTGCATGTAGGATGTGAGTAGAACCCCTAAACTATTAGTTCGATGCTGATAAGTTGAGTTCACAGCTTCACTCAACGATAGATTGACTTCTAATTCTAAACTCAGTTTATTTCTAGAGCTGTGGATCAACAATTAATGCTAATTCATTTTAGCCATCTCTCACCCCGCAAACGAAAGGGTGAGATAATAGTTTCAACACTGTCCATCTCTTACCAGGCTCCTTCTCCAAACAACACTTGATAAAGCTTAAAAATTCTCCTGTTGCTGTCTCTGGGATATTGCTTGTAGGTTCCCCAAAGCATGTCACCAACGCCACCTCCATCCAACTGGGTTTCTTCTCAGGTGGGAAAAAAGGAAAATGACCCACACAGAGCTCCAACAAAGTCACACCTAAGCTCCATACATCTCCCGCATACACATATTTGGGATCGTACCTAGAAGAGTCCAATCTTTCAGGACTCATATAAGCATATGTTCCCACGTAAGAACAGAAACTTTTGGGTGTTTCATGCTCATGCACTATCTGGCTTACTCCAAAATCAGCAATTTTCACATTCAGTCTTTTATCAACTAGGAGATTTGAAGGCTTGATATCTAAATGGACAATGTTGCCTGCATGAAGGTATTGGAGACCGTTGAGTACTTGGTATGCAATGTGGGCAATCGAGGATTTAGAGAAAGGACCATTAGTTTTCAGTAGTGAACCAAGTGTTCCCGCATCCATGTGGTCCATAAGAATGGCTTTTGAACCTGCCCACGCCGGCGGTTCAAAGATACCGTGGCATTTGATAATAAAAGGGGAGTCTGTACGACCTAGAATTTTGGTTTCATGGGAGGTTTGAGAGTCAGTTGTTATAATTTTAAGGGCATAGATGGCTGAAGTGTGCTTGTGGCGTACCTTGTAGACAATGCCATGATTGCCATGACCTAGAACACAAATTTTCTCAAAATCAAAGACGTTGCCTACTTCTTGGAATGCAGTGGTGGATACGGCGGCGGTCTTGGGGAGATAGCCAAGGGTAGAATGCGGTCCTGGAAGAAGCTGGAGTTTGAGTTGTAGTCTATGCCTAAGAAGAGACATATGACTTCTCCACAATCTCAATGATGTGATATGTTTCAAGTTATAACAAACTGAAAATTACGGAATGTGAAATGTGATGAAAAATTAAAATTATGAAGACGAATAGATGGAGATGGATGGAGTTTCATGCCGCCATGCGAGGATTATATATAGTGGTAAAAATACTCGGCCAGATGGTATTAGTGGATTAATCCATTATCATATTGTTCCGCGGAAGCAAAAATCAGCTTAAACAATGATCAAAGTTAAGCGAAAGTGGATATAATTTTTAATAAATATAGTAGTTAACACGGTAACTGTAGTGGTACGCATTGCATGGGCAGTTGAATTGAATGAGCTTTGTTTACTTTTCTACAGTTAACTAGTCCGGGTAAGCTTGAATCGCAATTAAATCAAAGAGTCTAGTGGAGGTATCCTCGTTAATTTAACAAGGATAAATAGCGTGTAGCGTACCAATTAGGTCCATTAGGTAATCAATATAGAGTTAATTAATACATTTTCATCCGTAAAGTCTTAAAATAGATCCAATAAAATCAGAAAAAATCCCACTTTAGTCCTTGTCAGACCAAGGTTATTACATTCCATTAAATGTGTTGATGCTTGATTTTGACACTAACTACTTGCACGTGTGAAATGCTAAGCGGGCTCAGAAGTCACACATGATATGGGAATATTAAGTTAACTAAGGGATGAGAGGCAATGTTTAAAGTGGTTCGGATGCTCTAAAGTAAATCCTACATCCACTGCTATTTATTAATAAGAGAGAGTAGTCAGGTCGCGTTCAGCGAGCTAAGTTACATTTTAGAGAGAGAGAGAGAGAGAGAGAGATTTCAGCGTAAAATTAGCTAATCCTCACAAATTAGAGGGAAGTCCTCTATTTATAGTGGGAAAGTTCAAGGTAATGATTATGAAAGTTGCAAGTGGGTAGGTGCCGTGCAAATTCTTTCTTTGCATCTCATTGATCACATGCCCAAGGGATTTCCTCGATTAAAGCAAGTCTTTGACATGTGGGCGATTTCTAGCCACTTGCTGGCCTGACACTCTCTTGCTGCACTGATAGGAGCTATGCCACTTGCGCTAGGCACGACGTGACCGCACCTGGACGGCGCATAACCCTTCTGAACTCTGACCATCCGTTACTGACGAGGCTCCACGTCAGCCCTACTTTTTCTAGCATAACAGAAGTCCCCCAGTTTTTAAGAACTTCATAATTATGCCATGATTTGACATATCCAAATGAAGCCTGGTTGAACCGACCTAGCTACAAGGAGGTCGTAGAACATTTTTCTACGAGCGACCTGAGATGGTCTTCATCCGCGAAGTCAACGACCTAGATTAGACCCTACTCAGTGCCATATCGATGCACATTTTATCTTAACCGAGGTCTACAACCCGATTACACTTGGAATATTTTTGTTGGAGGCAAGGAATCACATTGCTTTGCAACCAACATGCAACAAGGACTGTTCTTTTCCAACGACCTCTCCAGAAGTTATCCGTTGCGCTTGACAGCTAATCCATTAATGAAGTGTCCTTTATTTTGACAAATGTGTCTTGTGTGCAATAAGTGTCAGCCATGTACATTAAATGCAAGTCATGTTGAAACGACATTCCTTATCAAGGCACCAAATGCAGATGAGAGCGCATTTAATGTGAAGGAGAGAATCGAGCCGTCGCTCGATTATTTCAATGGAGAGTCGTGGTGATTGAATTTCTTGAAGTGTGGCGGTTTTACTCCTTCTCACCGATTGATGACACGTGATCGCGATCAACGGTGAGAGACGCATTCCGTCCAAACGTCGCTTGGCTTCGGGAAGACCAATCGCCGTTTCCCTAGGCTCACCTTAAGCAATGTCACAACACTCATACTTTTAGAAAAAGCAAAAAGCTCTCGCGAGACCAGATTTTCAATCCTTCAAGTTGGTGCACACTTTTCGTTAACAGTAAGAAGTTCAACCCCCACAGCTAAAAAAAAAGTAAGGAAGATCCTTCCATTGCTTTCCTTTTTCTGTTTCGTGGACAACATAACCAGGTGATAATGGTGGGTGTGTATAGCTAGACTTTTGTAAGGAATAGGTTTTCAGGGTACGAATCATTGGGGGTGGTCCCCATGGATTTTTTAGGATTTTTGGAAGATACATTAGGGTTTTGTTCTTTCACGTCGTCGTAAAAAATTATGTACGGAGACTGAGTAATCTGTACGTGTCTCCCTTTTTCAGACCGTAGAAGAGATGGACCCTATAGGGACCAAAACAAATGAGGGGATGAGCTCGCAGGCGCAGGATGCCCTAGTGGGTCCTGCGTAAGAGATTTTGTCAGCGGCTTCCTGAGAGGAAATACAGAAGGCAGTAGACTAATACGCACTTAGCGTAGAAGTCTATCGGTATAGGTCGCATACAGCTCAGAATCCGCCAGAGCGAATGACTACGATCTCTGAAGCTATATTCAAATGCGGAGCACTAATTCCCTTCCATCCTTTTATTAGGTCAATCATCGATCACTTCGGGGTCACACCTTTACAGCTGATGCCTAACACATATATGATAGTTGTGGCTATGTATATTGCGTGTGCCAAGTATGGCCTTGGCCAGTTGACTGCGCTGGAGCTCGCTTGCTCGTACTATTTAAAAAGAGCAAGGACAAAGATTCTTACTACCTCTCGAAGCGATCCACGATCGAGGGAGGCATATTCAATTACCACAGTAATGTCGGGGCATATGAGACCAAGTTTTTCTTTTTCTATTACGATGGCATCTACCACTTTAGGAAGCCGAGCAGGTCTTCCCTTTTTGTACTTAGCAAATTTTTTCTTTTCTTTTTGGGATTTATTTTCTAACGATCTTTCTTGTCTCTTCATAGGAAACAAGTCGACCAAGTTGACAGATCTCTCTGACTTCAACCAAATAATTTTATTCAGTAACCTGCCAGATCACTGTCACGACGCAAAATTGCTCGTGACAATCGCCAATTTGAGGAAGTATGGCTTCATCAATTCTGAAGTGACCTTGGAACCCTTACTTCCACTACAAGAAAAAGTACTCTTTGCAACCAATTTTTTTGCAACTAGGAAAAAATAGCTGCAGATACCCCACATTTAGTAACTAAATTCCAATCAGTCGAGCAAAGGGGAATAAAATTCTAGGGCCAATTTATTCTCGCATTTGGTGTCTAAAATTAATATTCTGCGACTAATTTGATTTGTTGCCTAAAATATCACAATAGCGACTAATTAATTGCACGAACACAATTGGCAACTACAACAAGAGATCCCGCAACTAAAATTATGGTTACAAAAAACAATTATTAGCAACTACTAGTTGCTAAATTAGATGCAAATATTTATTAATTAATTTGTAACTAATAAAAATAGTTACAAAATAATACAATTACCGAAATATCCAAGCTTCTGACAATAATTACAAAGGGCCCAGGGTACATTTGGCAACTAATTATTTTGTGCATATTACAAATAGTTGCAAAAACTCATGTATAGCAACTAAAATGTATTTAGTCGCTAAAAGTTGATGAATTTTTTTGGCCCCAACTTTCCCGGTAAAATGAAAAAAATAATATTTTAATTTGTGACTAAAATTATTGTTGCGTAATTAATTAGTTAGTTGCAAATTATCTTCTTTTGGCAACTAAGATGTTTAGTTGCCAAATGTATGGTAAATTTTGCGAATGAGTTTGGGCACCCCATGTTCCTATTTAAAATAAATTGAAATTTTGGGTATGTTATTTTGGTAACTAAAATTATAGTTGTTAATAGGATTTTTTCGCAACCAAAATGTTAGCCACCAAATATTGTTTATTAAAAATGATATATACTATTGGTAGTCAAAATCAATTAGTTACAAAAAGTTTGCAAATCAGAAATTTGAAAGTGGCAACTACAACATTAGTTGCAAAAATATTTTTTTTGGCAACTACTAAAATATTAGTTGCTATTGATGGTTGACAAAACATGAAAGTTACAAATGGTGACTACAACTCACTATTGGAAAAACCTCATTTCTTGACAGAATTAGTTGACAGATTTTCTTGACCATTCTCGAAAACTATCAAGAATTGTAATTCTTGACAGATTCTTGATAGTTTATGAATTGTTAAAAATTTGAAAAAATTCTTTACCGTTTTGGATGATTCTTAACAGTTATTAACTGTCAAGGAATTTGTTAAAATAAATTTTGCGAATCTTGTTCTTGACTGTTGTATTATTAATCCTTGACAGATTTTAACTGTGAATGATTAAGTGTATAAAAAACAAAAAACAAAAAAAATTTCCTTAAACTTTTGCAGCCCTTTTTTCATTAACTATTTCCACAATTTTTTCCCTAGAACTTATGCTTACTCGCTATTTCACTCATTTGTGCAAACCCTCATAATCGACCTATTTTTGGCACTAGAAAAAAAATTCTTGTTTCTACCACTCTCGTTCAATAGACGATGACTTGCTCACTGACTCTGATGCTTACACCATGCCTATTCTAATAGAGATTGTTAACTTCAGTGAGTTATTGGCGAGACGTATCCTCAACACCTAAATGTACAGGTGTTAAGAAAAATGTAGAAACTGAACCGAACCAAACTGGTTTTCCGATTATCCGGTAAAATGGTTTGGTTTTGGTCCATAGAAATATAAAAAAACCAAATTTTTGATTTTATTAAAAAACAAATTAAAAACTAAACAATTTTTTTTTAAATTTCAAAAGTAAACAATTTAAATTAAAAAGTCCCTAAATCTAGAATTAAAGAAACACAAAACCCCAAACCTGGTTTTATTAAAAAAAAAAAAAATTAAACAATTTTGCCCAAAATTCAAATTGTTTGAACCCTTCAAATTAAAAAAAGTAAAATAAATAAATAAACAATCTAATTAACTTCTCCACTTCATTGTCACTATCTATACAAAATCCCCAATAATGCTGGAAAGGTAACCCGTCCGGCCCGACCCGACCCGGCCCGCGACGGGTTACTGATTTTGGCGGGCCGGTCCTAACCCGCCTGCCAACAAAGTTAGGCCAGGTTAGGCCCGCCTTTTTTGGGGATTAGTTGGCCCAACCCGGCCCGCCAACCCTAACCCGTCGGGTTAGGCTGCGGGTCGGGCCGGGTTAACCCCTTTTTTTTTTTTTTTATTTAGTTAACTTTTCAAATGAATAATTAATAATTTATAAATGTAATTGTTTTTAGTTAACTTTTCAAATATCAATAATTCAATTAAATTAATTTTTTTTTTTTGTCTACCCAACTTCAGCTTTAACCGGTTAGAATATTTACAAGTGTGTAACATTTAATATAGCCAACCTACATATGGAGAAATGTTCCAGTCAAGATAATAGATTTCGTTTTTTCAAAATTTTCATGCTCATAGTAGAAAACACAATAGTTTTCACGACTATATCAAATAACGGGTTATTAGATACTTATTTTAAAAATTAAGAGAGAAAAAAATACACAATTTTCTTTTGTATCAATAAAAGAATATTGTTTTATTACTCAAATGAAAGTTTTTAAAGTATATCAGACACATATCAAATTTGTATTTTTTTTTTTTTTTCCTCTTGTGATAGATTAATGATGGAATAATGAGAAACAGGGAGTTGAAAAACTTACACAATCTAATACATATTCCAGAGAACAGAGTAGGAGTGGTAACCTTTTGTTGGGTCAAACCAAAGGTAAATCCTTTTTTCTCTGTTACCCTGACCCTCGCTGAAGACATTTGTCTGCAAAATGTATGGCTGGCCGGTTCTGTTTCCCAAGAACTCAAAATCTATTTCATCATGCTCTGAGTTTTGAGAAGAAAGCTGCAATTGATGATACACAACACAAGATTAATATAAACCATAAATGCTTTGTTTAAAAGAAGATAAAATAAAACAAAAACAAAACTTACATAAAAAGCAGTAACAGTTCCTGCAGAATCCCCAGGAACCAGTTTGATTTGCATACTGAAGTGACCAAACAAGTAAGATCTTTTGGATTGGAAGCCAGTACCCTTATTTCCAAGTTACATTTTTCAAATGTTAAAATAAACATTAATCAACAAGTCTTCAATGAAATGAAAATTACAAATTGAAGCATACCAGTGTATTTGTCAAGGAGAAGCTGAATCTCAGAGCCGCCATTGAAGTACTTAATGTGATCAAAAGCCCAAGTGGGCGCGTAGTTTCTGCCAAATGGGACATCCACAAGCCTTCTTGGGGGAGCTCCCATTGTTGCTGACACCATAAACGAGATGCCCAGAAGCAGAATCCAAAAGAAGGAAGCCATTTTTTCTGCAGAAACACAAAGCATTTTGACTAGTTTAGTTTCTAGCAGAGAAAAAGTAGTAGCATAAACGAGATGCCCAGAAGCCCAAGTGGGCGCGTAGTTTCTGCCAAATGGGACATCCACAAGCCTTCTTGGGGGAGCTCCCATTGTTGCCGACACCATAAACGAGATGCCCAGAAGCAGAATCCAAAAGAAGGAAGCCATTTTTTCTGCAGAAACACAAAGCATTTTGACTCGTTTAGTTTCTAAAAGAGAAAAAGTAATAGCAAAAGAAAGAAATGTATGATCTTTGCAGGGTCAAGAGCTTACAGTAGAGAGAAAGAGAAGAAGAAACAGGTCCCGTTGTTGCAACAGCTAACCCGCCGGGTTGGCGGTCCTACTCCAAAAAGGACAAAATAGTAACCCGTGGGTCGTCAGGTTCTCATATATTAACCCGACCCATCCGGAGTTACATACGGATTAGATTCAATCCGGCCCGTCTTATTTACGGTTCGAATTAAACCCTCTTTAATGCGAACCGGGTTAGAATTGACCCGTCTACCCCGATCCATTTGTTCCACCACTAGTCCCCAAACCACTAAAACCCCACCAATGACGCAATTGCTGTCCACTTCTCCACTCCGTCCGCCTCTTCTTCTCCAATTTTTGCCTTTAATCCTTATCTTCTCCACTCCGTTCGCCTTGTCTTCTCTATTTGACGGCTGAATCTCCAGTTGCTGAACTCCCTTTTTTTTTAACTTTGTGGAAGTGCTTTCATTTCTCTGGTACTACTTTGTGTTTTTCTTACCTACTTCTGATGACTTTTTGTGAATCTTCTTTGGCTATTTTGTACCATATAGTAAAAGTACCCCTTTTCCAAAGTAAAAATCCTGTTAGAATGCTGAATCTTCTTCGCCTACTTTGTGTTCCTACTTCTGCTGACTTTTTGTGAATCTTCTTTGTTATATCATGTAAGCACTTAGGATTACTTTAACGAGACAGTGCCTCTTACTTTTGCATGTTAAAGTAAGATAATGCCTCTTAAACTTGGGCTTCGTCTTTTTTTTTCTGTCTCTTTTTTATCTGGGATTTTTTTTTTTTTTTATAGTCTTATTGTCTCATTTGGGTTTCGTCTTTTTTTTTTTTTTTATCAAATTTTAGTTTATTGATTTTTTCTTGTGGGGTTGTGTGCGTGTTCAGTGCTCGCAAGAAGGAGCTGAAGAATAAGCAGAGAGAAGAGGAGAGGAAGCGCAAAGTAGAAAAAAAGGCGAAACAAGTACTTAGCTTTCGTTTTAAGTTGATGATTTGTTGAGTTTTTGATATGGCTTTTGGGTATTTTTGCATTCATTTTTGTTTGCTAATTGGCTTTTTCTTTTCTTATTTGAGATTTTGATATGGCTATGCGGTATTTGGCATTCGTTTTTGTTTGTTAATTGGTGTTATTTTGTTATTGTTTAAGGATTAAGAGACAAGAAGGTGGTGTCATGTAGTTATTCATTTGAAGTTAGTAACATATGTGTTTATGAATATTGGTGTTATTTTGTCCTTTTTTAAGGATTAAGAGACTAGAATATGTGTAATGTAGTCATTGATTTGAAGTTATTATGGATTTTGAATGCAGGGGTGGGGCCATAAAGTTTTTGGGGACGACGCGACACCACGACAAGTGTCTGAAAGACACTGAGAATTATGTGGTAAAAGGTTGCTTTGCAATGACGGAGTTGGGACATGGAAGTAATGTATGTATGTCAAGGTTGTTAATTGATTTGTGGAATTTATTATGTTCTTAATTTTTGAACTTTGTGTTGGGTTTGTTATTTTTAGGTTAAAGGAATTGAAACAGTTACCGCTTATGATTCAAACACTGGAGAGTTTGTTATAAACACTCCTTGTGAGTCAGCTCAAAAATATTGTATTGGTGGAGCGGCCAATGTAAGAAATTTTTCTTTCTTTAAGATTTGGTTGGCAATTTTTGTTGTTCAATTTGATTCCCATGCCATGGGTGGAAATTGTACTTGCAGCATCTGTGTTTACATAGTTTTTGTTGTTTTGCCTGTCTAGCATGCAACACAGACGGTGGTCTTTTTGCAGCTTGAAATTAATGGGAAAAATCAAGGGGTTCATGCATTCATTTGCCAGATCAGGGGTGCAGATGGTAAAATTTGTCCTAATATCCAGATAGCTGATTGTGGTCATAAAATTGGGTTGAATGGGGTTGATAATGGTCGAATTTGGAAAGAGTTATAAGAACTTTTGTAGCTAAACTGCTCAACTTTATGTTTGAATGACCTTAAAAAATTATGCTCTCTATAGTTAAGATGTAACTCAAAAGTTTTGGAATTTTTTCAGGTTTGATAATGTCCGAATCCCCAATGAGAATTTGTTGAATTCAATTGCTGATGTTTCACCTGATGGAGAATATCTTAGTGCAATCAAAGACCCAGATCAGGTAATTACCTTACTGATAGATGGTATATTGTTATCTTCTTCTAGCTTAATTTTTCTGATAAGATGACTTTCTAAACTCTTATATATTTGTGTTATTTTTAGAGATTTGCAGCTTTCATGGCCGCTTTAACATTTGGTCATGTAAATATAGCAGTTTAGCTAACATCTCGTCATCTATTGATGATTTTAACTAATAAACTAGTGCTGTTAATTCTATTGCTATCCTCCCCCTTTCCTCCCCATTATTGATTCTGCAACAGATATGCTTTGAGTTCTGCTGCAAACTACATGAAGATGTTATATGTTAATAGGACACCTCAGTCAAACAAAACCATTCATGTTATTTCAAGTGCATTCAAGGCTACTTTTACCTGGCACAATCAACGAACACTACAGGTCAGGAACTTCAACTACACATCGATTATTTACATTCATGTTAAGTGGTCTGATTCAGACTACTAGTCTTTTAGGAATGCCGTGAAGCAATTGGAGGACAAGGCCTGAAGACTGAAAATCATGTTGGTCATTTGAAAAGTGAAATTGATGTGCAATCTACTTTTGAAGGGGACAACAATGTCCTGATGCAGCTGGTTAATGTCTATGGTCTTCTTTCTTATAAATTATGACAAAGAATTGCAATATATCCCTATTAATTGTTTACAAGTGACCTGCATATCTATATACTACATTTTTGTTGGAGACAGGAATAGATATCAGAGAAAATGTTAGATTTTGACTTACCTTCTTTCGAAATGACATGAATTGTTTAATGGCCTTCCTAAAAGCGTTGGGGCATAAGAAGACTTTTGAACTTGATCTTTTATTGAATTAGTTTATATTTCCTCCATGTTTGACCTTTAGTAGATTATAGATTTTAGACTTCTTAGTACTATATTATAGCCTGCTATTTATGTAGATTGCATGTTAATAATCCTCTTGTTTCTTTTAATTCAAATTATGCATATTGCAATAATCAGTTTTGGTTTCCATATTAATTTGGAAGCTTTGCGTACCAATTTTAGTGTCTTGATCAATGGCTAAATATTAATATGGAACTATATTTATACTCAATTTTACTTTCTCCATAAATCTCACTTCGAAATGGCTATGCATGTTTTTCCATTCCTCCAGGAAATGAAACTTTGCTACTTGCTAACATAAAGAGCTTTAAGGTAATTGTTTCTTGGCCATTTTTCTTTTCACAGAGATATATGGTTGGTCAATGTAAGGGGGTTTATCTAGTTGAGGATCTTAAAGTTGACTTGAAGACCGAGGCTGAGAACACTGCACCATTGCTACTACAACCATAAAAAAGAAGGTATAAGTTATGTAAATTGAAATCTTAAACTAGGGAATTGAAGTTTAGATTGATAATCTGTGAGATACTTGCTTTTTTACTCCATCAATTTGATTTTTGTTGAATGTACTGCATTTTCTTATTGTAAAATTAATTTCTGTGAACTTTAAGGTGTAGTCTTTCTTTTCTGTTGCTATTTCATAAGTTTTTGTCACATATTGTATACCTCAGAATAATTATAGTTAATTTTTATTTATTTAGTTTCTTGCTTGACTTATTGATTATGCATTGAATTGATGGTAGGAAAAAATGATAAGAGCTGCAAGATGAAACACAAGCAAGGGAAAGTGAAAAAAATAGAAGCAGAAATATGTGAGGAAGTGTTGGGTAAAGCTTCCGGATTTAACTAAAATTTTGCATTTTCACAGACTCAGCATCATGATACTGCAGCAGAAGCAGAGTTAAGACGTATAGTGCAACAACAAGAAAATAAATTAAACTATTGGAGGAGCAGCTCATCCTATTTGATCAACATAAACAGAAAATAAAAATGCTTGAAGAATAACATTTTCAAATGTTGGAGATGCTGAAGCAGATCACTATAGCAGTTGCACACGCCCAACCTGCTAGAGCTCCAACTCGATTGCGATTGCCATCTCCAATTGATGAAGAGTCTTTCTCATTTGCTACAGCTGTTTCAAGAACCTCAACTAGTGATACTTGAGATGCTAACACTATTGATGGTTAGTTTTTTTTTTATATGGGCAATAGATATTTTGACGTAGGGGCAGGACCATCTTTTTGGACTATTTAGGATTGCTTGCATATATCCCTAGACAGTATACAAGGGATGGGCATTTTGTTTGTTAGTTATGCACAGATAGACAACTACTTATGAAAATGTGGGGTGCATGCTTTCTTTTTTTGTTATGCACATATGATAGTGCATTTTGAATTTTTATTGCTCATCATACATAAAAATCTATGTATATATATATATACATACAGTAAAACCTCTTTACAGTCATAATAGTGTGACTAACTAATTTTATTATTATAAGGAGGTTATAATTTAATGGAGGTGTAGTTACAAAAATTATAGTTTTGATTTCTTATTTTATAATTCATATTTTAGTAATATTAGGATCTCAATTTAGCGCTTCGATTGCCTACTTTTGAGATGGATAAAAGATCGTTTCTTAGAACCAGCAAAAATAAGTGTCATTGATGGAACTGTAAATGCAATTGATGTATGGTCAACTAATGTGAAGCCACAGACAATTGTCAATGGTTTTAAGCGTTGCAAAATTAGGACTACTAATGTCAATGAATTGTAAATTACAAATGAAGTGGATGAGGAGAATAAAAGAGTCATGAGTGATCAAATTCGACAACTTCACTACACTAATCGAATGAATATTAATGTCTTTTTCGATTATTCAAATGAGCAACAAATTGTGTATGCTTTAACTAAAGGAGAAATTATTGTTGCAATTAGATAAGAAGAGAAAGGAAATAATCCTAAGGATAATAGTAAGGAAATATAAGAAGTCTTGTGCCATGAAGCTCTAAACGTGCTTGAGAAATTAAAAATATTTTGGCTTCAACAAGAAGGTATTCATGCTAATGAGCTATTACGTATTCATAAGGTAAAAGATGTGATAACAACTCTAAAGCATAAAGAAGTGTTACTATATATATATGAAAATATGATATTTGATGTTAGTAATTAGATTTTTATATTGTGTCAATTATTTTGTTGATACTGAATGTATAAACTAGGTCGTTTACAAAGAGGAAAAATAATGCTCTTAAATATTAACCAATTAGTTATTAAAGTATTAGTTCTAGAAATAATACAACAGTAAAGACTAATCAATAATATCTTACTAAAATAATTAGTTTTCAAAACTCATATACAATCGGTTACTATATTATTTATATTCAAAAAATTAATTTTTAATGACTAAACATTAGTTATAGAATGTAAGAAACCAAATTGGGTATATACATTTCCTCGCTAAAAGCAAAATGCTTTGGCCGCTAATTATTTTCTCACAAAAAAACACATTCTGCAACTAATTTCATAGTAGCGAAAAGTAATTTATCATATTTGGATTCCACATTCAGCATCTAAAATTATTGGAATTAACTACCAAATTTTTGTCACCAAAAGATACATTCGTCCACTAATAAAATAGTCGCGAAAACCTTTTGGATTCCACATTCAGCGTCTAATTATTAGAATTAACTACCAAATTTTTGTCACCAAAAGATACATTCGTCCACTAATAAAATAGTCGCAAAAAACTTTTACAAAATTACCTTTACACCTTCAACGTCTAATTTTTGTGGCATTCGTGACAAATTATTAGTCACTAAAAGGTACATTTTGCAACTAATTGATTAGTCGCGATACAATTTTACCAAATTACCTTTGCACATTTAGCGTCTAAGCTAGGGACTATTTCAACCAACAATTAGGGACTAATTTGCTAGTCGTTAAAAAAAAACTTTCCGCGTCTAACCAACTTTTTAGACGCCCATACTTTTTGTGACAGCGATTTTGCAACTACGTGGTGACTATGAAAGTTAGACACGCAAGACATTTAGCATCTAAATTTTACTATCGGCGTCTAATTTTGCCAGAATCTGAAAGCCATTTTTCTTGTAGTGTTCGTAAGTGTCCGCAGTCTTGCCAGATTTTCGCTTTTGCATGTAGCGAACTCTTTTACTAACAGTAACTACATGTAGCGAATATGCAACCTAAAGTGCCAAGGTTGTTGAGAGAGAGGGGGTTCGTTTTCCTCTGGGTCGGTGCCATGGAACCAACAGAGGCGGGCCTTAGCGATACTCCTATTGAAGGAGCGCAGGTACAACCGGTAGAACCTTCTTAGCCTGTGGCCGCACGCCCAAAGTAGAAGACCATGGGCCAAAAGTCCAAGAAAAGAAGAGTGCTGCAACCCGAGGAATCAAAGTCCGAGCCGGAAGGCTTGGGGGTGCAGCCTGGGAGGTCGTAGCCTTATCAGGCTTCTCGCTTGGGAGGGAGCTTGAGGCACGTGACCGGGGTTACACTGGTCTATTCGCGCAGAGGATAAAGGAAGGCCGCGACTTTGGGGAAGAGAGAAGGCAAAGGGCCGACTGGCGAGGTGCCCTCTACTTCAAGAGCTGACATACCAGTGTTGGACTCTATGGGTCAACTTCCGGAGCACCTACAGTTGGTAGTGTTCACCCTTCTAGAGTGCTAACTTGCCAAAGTCTTTGAAGAGCTCATGGCCTCCAACCCTACGAACCTGATGATTAAGGCGGTTCAAATGCAAAGCCAGGTAAGACGGTTTGTCCTCGTTGAGAACTTTCCAATACTGTACTCTTTTTAAGGAGACAGTCTAATGCTTACTTATTTCACTATGCAATTTTGCTCGCCATGCATTAGGCCCAACAAAAGATCCAACTGGAAGCTGCCGGGGGACTCTTCGAGTTGAAGGAAGAGAACACGTAGCTGAGGCATGACTTAGCAGCTGTGAAAGAAGAGTTGAGCCTGCACATCGTTGAGACGAACCAGTACATGTCAGAGAGGAACTCTGCTCTTCACACGGTGGACTTCTAAAAGGCCGAGCTGGAGAAAAGGGGAGAGGAGCTTAAGTAGCTTCAAAGGACAGTGGCCAGGCTCACCAAAGAGGGTGGCGAGAAAGAGCTAGAGCTACGAGCGAACTTTGAACGGGCCTTGCAGGAGAAGGAAGAGAGAGCTTAGTTGTGAGAAACTTCCGAGAAGCAGAAGAGGACACTCAAGGCAGACTTCGAATTATCCCAGGGGTAGGTCGCTTCATTAACCGAAGAGATGAAGCGACAAGAATTGGAAATTGAGAGGAAAGCTGCTGACTAGTCGATTCAGTCCATTTATGCCCTTCAGCCAAAGAACCCGACCATGGACCTCACCGACCTTCCGGATGATTACCAGAGGATCCTTGCCTCCATGGAGAGAGCCGATGATAAGGAGGAAGGTCTAGGGCCTCACCTGGAAGAGGATCAACCGGAGGAGTGCGTCTCGGAGGACCTGATAGTTGACAAGGTGGTCGGCGACCAACCTGGAGATACCGAGGTCTCAACTTTAGGGTCTAGGGACGAAGACCAGTAATCACTCCTACCTTTGTTTTTCCCATAACCTTGCTTTTGACTGCCCTTGCGTATTCTCTTGTACTTAGAAATTTATAAATAAAATGATCATTTTTTAAATTATTTGTGAGCACTTATAATCTTTCGTACTTCACAATTACATATGCGAACAGGAGGACGTCCTCTAGCTATTTACGATATTAAATTATTTATAAGCACTTATAATTTTTCATACTTCACAAACATTGCATATGCAAACAGAAACATAAAAACAATGCAAGGAACAAACTCATACATTTATACAAGATGAATTTGGCTTAAAAGTGATCTTAATTAAAAAGCTTTCAAGGGAATTTTTACAAGGAAATTAAAAGAGTGAGTTTGGAATTACTGATAATAGGGGCAAAGATGCTCAACATTCCAAGCTCGCGGTACTTCAGAATCATTGAGCCTTTTGAGCTGATAAGTCCTTGGTCATATCACCTTAGCGATACGGTATGGGCCCTCCTAGTTCGGTCTCAATACTCCCGCGCTTGGTTCCCTTGTACCGAGAAGGACTTCTTTCAGAACCAGGTCACCAACCTGAAAGTTTCTTCTCCTGACTTTAGAGTCAAAGAATCTTTTTGCACGCTACTGGTAGGTTGCTATCCTTAACCTAGCTTTGATGTGATGTTCTTCAACTAAGTCCAAACCTTCATGCAAAAGTGCTTCATTGTCTGTTTCATTGAACAGGTCCTTCCGAAGTGAACCAACCCCCACTTCCACTAGGATCATCGCCTCGCAGCCATATGCTAGCGAGAAAGGCGTTTTTGAAGTAGAGGTTCTCGTAGCTGTTCTATATGCCCATAGGACTTCTGGGAGGTCATCGACCCAATTTCCCTTGGCAACGCCAAGCTTAGC